TATCAAGTTTGTAGAACGTAAGTTTCAAGAGAGATATAGCAAGAGTTTGTAGTTAATCCAATCTTCCATAATAATCAAGAGAGGTGGAGGTGTAGAATATGCTCTGGAAAGGGAGCGAATCTGAAAGAATGAGAAGTTTTCCTTCAGCCCCCATCTTCTTTCACAACATTCAGTTTTTCTCCTCTCTTTCTGCAAATTCTCTCCTCTAAGCAGCTATATGAGAAGGATCACATACATTTCTGTCTATCTGTGCAAATGGAGTTTGATGTCTGGAATATGGGAGAAGAGAGGAGTCAAAGAATTTGTGTACAAAACTGGCTGCTTAGATAGGGGTGCTTCCCCCATCCCATTGCCTGCCTTCCTGTCTACAGTGGCAGACTAATTTGGGCTGAGTAACAGCTGTACCTCGAATAAAGCTGCAATTCTGTTTCCCAGGAGAGTTTGCTGATTAGGGCAGGACAGTCAGAAAACAAGTGAAGGTACAGGACAGGAAGGGTATAATTTGATATATGTCTCTTGGAAACAATGTTTGAGAGGAAGGTTAGTAGCATCTGAAGTGCGGAGTCTTTATGGGGAGTTTGGCTAAGTGTACAATGATCAATGAAAAGCGTGAAGGGAGCCCTTGCTAGCTGGTGGTTAAATTGAAGAAGATTAAGGCTGACTTTACCCAGAGGAGATCTGGGGAAAGCAAAAATTTGAGAAACCAAAGGAACTCAGTAAAATATGATAGACTTGAACTTGGGGCTTCTTTGAGAAGACCAGAATGGTTTTTGTATGTCTGTGAGCCTAGATGCACATAGATAGTTATGTATGAGTATAAAGCAGGAGTGCCCAAGCTGTTAGTTAGAAAAGGAGGTAGGGCAATCTAATAGAACATGGTAATTCAATAATGAAGGAGCCTTTTAAATGACCAGTGCCGATAGAAGCATAATTTGGCTCTTTGACTCTGATCCTGCAGTTACAAATCTACCATCAGCTAGATACTTATTTTTCTCAGCTATGACTTCTTAACAAGTAAGGAAGCAGTGTCATGAATATGCAAGGACTTTAGGTTAAATGTTAAAGGTTTTCTTTAAATTCTTTATATAAGAAGTTATGGATAGTTGTTCTAAGTAGCGACAGTAATAGTGGAATGTGAATATATAGATATTCACTTGTACTTATAGTTAGAATCTGATGATGTGTGTATATATATGTATATATAAAGGGGAATTGCAATGGGAAAATAAAGGCAAATATAAGATAGAAAGCACAGAACAGAAAAGATGGAAAATGTCACTTAGGTTTTTTTAATTCTAGAGTAATCCTATGTATGTACAAATACTGGAAATTTTATAGAAAATCTCCTTAAAATTTGGCCATGTACTATCAGTAGCTTCAGATCACTGAAGATCTATAAATTTATGCTTAGAACATAATGTTTAACAATGCTTTGGCAGCTCCTGGTTATTTTAAACCTCTTGGTTTTAATTTCACATGAAGTACATTACATTAGAAATATCTGGACCACTGTTGTTTACCAGCTTTGTGCTACAAGACAGATTTTAAAAATACCATATAGTTTGCTTTTATTCTTATATCTCTTTTGAAATACCGACTCAAAGAATTGCAAAATAACTGAGGTTGTAAGGGACATATGGAGATCCAAACAACTCCTGTTCAAGCAGGACCCTTACAGCCAGTTGCTCACCATCATGTCCAGACAGCTTTTGAGTATCTCAAAGGATGGAGCTTTTGAATTTCAGTAAAGCTTTTCATACTCTCTCTCACAGGATCCTTCTGGACAAACTGTCCAGCACACATCATGTAGTAGGTGAGCAATTGGCTCACGAGTCAAGCACAGAGGGTTACAGTGAATGGGGTAACATTAGACTGCTGAGCTGTCACTAGTGGTGTTCCACAGGACTCTATCCTAGGCCCTGTGCTCTTCAACATCTCTATAAATGACTTGGATGCAGGACTGGAGGGGATACCAAGCAAGTTTGCAGATGACACAAAACTCGGTGGAGCTGTTCACTCCCTCAAAGGCGCAGAGGCCCTGCAGAGAGACCTCAACAAATGAGAGGACTGGGCAATCACCAGCCATATGAAGTTCAGCAAGCGAAAGTGGCTGATTCTGCGCCTGGGATGGGGCAACTCTGGATGTACAGACAGACTCGGGAATGAGATATGGAAAAGCAGTGCCAAGGAAAGTGACCTGGGAGTTCCTGGTCAGTGGCCAGTTGAATATGAGTCAGCAGTGCCCTGGCAGCCAGGAGGGCCAACCGTGTCCTGGGGGGCATCAGGGAAAGCATCACCAGCGAGGCGAGGGAGGGGATTGTCCCGCTCTGCTCTGCACTGGTGAGGCCTCACCTTGAATATTATGGCAGGTTTGGGCACCACAATATAAGAAAGATATTAAGCTGTTAGAGAGTGTCCAATGAAGAGCGATGAAGATGGTGAAGAGCCTTGAAGGGAAGCCGTCTGAGGAGCGGCTGAAGTCATTTGGTGTGTTCACCTGGAGAAGAGGAGACTGAGGGGAGACCTCAATTGCAGTCTACAACTTCCTCGTGAGGTGAAAAAGAGGAGAGATCTCTTCTCTGTGGTGACCAGTGACAGGACCTGAGGGAATGGCCTGAAGTTGTGTCAGGGGAGGTGTAGGTTAGATCTTAGGAAGAGGTTCTTCATCCAGAAGGTGGTTGGATGGTAGAATAAGCTCTCTAGGGCAGTGGTCACAGCACCAAGTCTGCCAGAGTTCAAGAAGCATTTGGATGATATTCCCAGGCACATGGTGTGGCTCTTGGGTATGGTTCTTTGCAGGGCTAAAAGTTGGACTCGATGATCCTTGATGGTCTTTCAAACTCAGCATATTGTGTGATTCTCTACAGCTGGGAGGCCTCCAGCATATATTGATGCCTGGATTTGCTCTTTCCCAGGTGCGTGAGTTTGCACATACCTCTGGATGGCACCAAGACCCTCTGCCAGCCAGTTTGATGTCAGCTGCAAACTTGCTGAGGGTACACTCTGGCCTATCATGCAGATCATTAATGAAGGTGTTAAACAGGATTGGACCTAGTGTTGATCCCTGAGATAGATCGCTTATTATTAGCCGCAATCTGGAGTTTGTGCCACAGATCACCATGTTTGGTGGCATAGCTATTCAGCCAGTTTTCGACTCACCTCACTGACTGTTTATCCAGCCCACATATCAAGAGCTTGTCTACAGCTTGTTTTATAACAGGATCTTATGGGAGACAGTGTCAAAGGCTTTACTAAAGTCCAGGTAGACAATATCCACTACTCTCTCCTCATCTACCAGGCCAGTTATTTCTTCATAAATGTTTATCAAGTTGGTCAAGCATGACTTCCCTTTACTGAAGCCATGCTGAGTATTCCTGATGATTTTTTTTGTCCATAATGTTCCTGGAAATTCCTCCATCACCTTCTCAGGGATTGAGGTGAGGTTGACAAGACTCTGATTCTGAGTCCTCTTCCTTCCACTTCTTGAAGATAGGATTGATATTTGCTTTTTCCAGCCTTTGGGATATTATCACAGTTGCCATGATTGATCAAAAATAATTAAGAATGGCCTTGCAATGACATCTGCCAGCTCCCTTGGCACTTGTGGGCATCCCGTAAGGGCCCAAGACATCCGTATGTCTTGTTTGCTTAACTTATCAGGTTTCCTCAGACCTGATCCTCTTTCACCAAGGGTACATCTTCCTTTCTCCAACCTTGTCTCCTGGTCTCTGGGCCTGGAATTCCTGAAGGCTGCTCTTGCTAGTAAATACTGAGTCAAAGAAGACATTCAGTACCTCAGCCTTTTCCATGTTTGTGTAACCAGGTCCCCCATCTCATTGAGCAATGGGCTCACATTTTCCCTAGTCTTCCGTTTGTCACCTGTGTACTTATAGAAGCCCTTCTTGTCTTTGACATCCTTGGCCAAATTTAGTTCCATTTGAGCTTAAGCTTCCCTGACTTTGTCCATGCTCAGATACTATTTGTGTGTCCCTCCCAGCTTACCCATCCTTACTTCCAGCCTCTGTATGCTTCATTTGAGTTTGGCTAGGATCATTATGTTCATCCATGCAGGCCTCCTCGCATTTTTTTTTTTAACTCTTTTGAGCTTGGCAGAGCTCCTTAAATATTAACCAGCTTTATAGTTACCTAGGGCCTAATCCCACGGGACTCTTCCAAGCAGAGGCCAGAGTCTGCTCTTCTGAAGGCCAGGGTTGTGAGCTTGCTTTTTACTCTCCTTCCTGCCCTCAGGATCTGGAACTCCACTACCTCATGGTCACTGCAGCAGAGGCTGCCTTTGCCTTTCACCTCTCCAACAAGCCCCTCTCCATTTGTGCCTGTATCACTTAGAAGAAGAAGTTATCATCAATGCACTTCAGGAACCTGGATTGCTTGCAAAAACTGGTGAAAGTGATACCTACCCCAGATTCTGGTTTGTCCTTGTCAAAACTGGGGCAATATTTCCATTACTCCAAGGTTTATGAGCAAGCTTTGTACCAGCCCTTCTTAAGCAGCTTCACTGGTTCCTGTTGCCATTATTTTGCTTAGAATAACTGTACTGATTAAGTATCTTTTTATTCTTATGATATTGGCATTTCCAAATAGTAAAAACTGTAGAAATACATTAGTGTTCAATTCATATAATTTATTGAACAAAGAATAGAAATAAATTTCTGTACAACTGATCTAATGTTATCTGTTCTCCCTAAGAATAGGTGACTGCACAATCAGTATAAAAATGAATTAATGACAAAAGAAACCATATTTTACACATTATGTGTGTGTTTGTATAAAATATGATTACAATGGGATGTAGATTTCATCATGTTATACAAAAGGAACTATGTATTACTTGAATTTGACTTTATCATATCATTAGTGTTGCCCTACATCTTGTTGAGGGTTTTTTTATGCTTCATATTGATATACCAGAAGGTGTTGTAGGCTGCTGACTTTTCTACAGAATTAATCCTAACTTTGATCTCTTTTACCATACTGTGCAGGAGTTCTGAAGAGAGCTAGTGGGGAGCTTTTAATAGGAGAAACTAGAGCAAATGAAACCAGCGTGCTTCCTGAACAGTTACTTCAGGTAGAAGAGGTGAGTATGAAAAGAGTCTTACACTTTTTATGGGATTTTCTTTTGTGTGTGTCTCCAGTGTAGTCTGTCATCGTGTTCATTATAAACACATATTGCCATAGTTTCATTACTTTAGCTACTTTGATTTATTTTAGGTGCAAAGTCTCAGTTAAGATGGAATAAAATCTTCCGGCATTCATGAAGAAGTGGTCGGTATTTAATAACAGAATTTAACATATGATACCTCAAAACAAAAAATTGCTAAAATATCATAACTTTCTTAGTATTATATATATATATTATCAAATACAGCAGAATCTTAAAAAAATCTATGGAATTCTTAGAATTTGATAATAATGATTCTTCCTATAGGGATAGGTACTCACACAATGTGTAGTTTCTTTGATGCCAACAAACTATTGTGTAGTAAGCACTATGTTTTGTAGAATGTATGTACAAGATTAAGTTTTTGTCTGGCTCCAACTTACTACTAAACACATTTATGTTGTTGATTTTATGGGACCTAAATGCTCTAACAAGTCTTATACTTTGTGATAGTGGAATTTAATTTTTTAATGGTTCAATTTTAATGGTGGAAAACTTTTTAAATGTGCTTTGAATCAGTTTGTGAGACTAATGTTCTTACAGATTACAAAGAAGAATATTTTGAGTAGATTGATCCCTGTCAGAGACCGGATTCATATCTCACCAGATTGTTTGATTGATGGGTCAAATAAACCATGTTGTCTGTTTATGTGGAGGTGGGGGAAGGGCTAAGCCTCGGCCTGCAGCCAACACGGCTGTGCCCATGCAGAGCACACGGCAGGGAAGGCCATGTGGCTGGGCTGTCAATCACACCACACCCCCTGGAGCGGTGTGGCACCCCTCACTTTGGTTAGGGGGACAGTGAGTGGCAGTGAGCCAAAGGTCCTGCCTAGAAGGGGTGGCCACAATAGCCAGAGTCTATAAACAGACACACACATGGTCTCCATCTTGCCTTGGCCTCTGCCCTGCTGACCTGTCCACATGTGACCTCCAGAGTGGTAAATATGTCCCTCTCTTCTCTTATTCTTTCTTCTCTTAATATCTCTTCCTTTCCTCTTGTGGGCAACTTAAACACCTTTTTTCTGTGTTTCACTTAATTTGTGGGTATTTCATTTAAGGTGTATGGACCTTGTGCTTGTTGAGTGTAACACAGGTTCCCTTACTACAGCAATGCTTGCTAGTCTCAGTAATCTGTTGTAATGCTTTTGGGAAGTTGCATGTTATTTCTGTAAAACCCTTTTTGCCAAAACACCTATTTTCTCACCAAATTAAAAAAATCTCTTAGGCAAAAATGTGTAGTTTTTCTCTGGACATGAACTCAAGGTATCAAAGAATAAAAGACTTTGCAAGGGTTTGTGGACAAAATCTCTTTAAGTCTAAAATTGAAGTGTACAGCCTGTAAAAGCATGGAGCTTCTGGACCAGCGTGCAACAATTTCAGCCCCCCCCCGCCCTTCCCCACCCAAAAAGGGGGAGTTCAAAACTGTGTGTCCATGGGAGCTGTCTCTGTGCTGACTGGAGCTGAATGCTTGGAGTGGAGAAAGGGAAAGGAAGCAGGATACAACTTTTCAATTGAAGTAAGGTGGACGGCTTTCACTTTGTAGCCCTTCATTGTCTTTCGATTTAGTATTATAGCTGCAGCTTACTGGGAATCCTTCTTTTCTCTTCTCCCATTATTCTTCCCTCATGGTGGAGATCCAGTATTTACTGAACATCATCTTGTGTAATTAAAATATGTCTCTTACAGTGGTGCAATTCCCAATTGGCCACTTCTGGTAAGGTTTAAGTCTGATGTATGTCATAAGAGCAATGCAAAGTCAGATAAGTTGAAAAGTGATGATGTCTTGCTATATCTGCTTCTGTTAACTGTTACACTTCAGATGACTTCAGAAGTCTGTTTAAAGAAGGCGGGGAACTGATGTAAACCGTAGTAAAAGTCAGCATTGGCTAAAAACTACAAATCTCAATTTAATAATTTTGCTCTTTGCTAAATCCAGCTCTAGAGAAGAGAAATACAGTGTGGCTGTGTTAAAACCAGCTTCTCCAAAGAGGTTTCCATTAAGATTCATAGTTAGTAACTTCCATTTGCTATCTTGTGGTGAAAATTGTTACAAGGTATATACTGCTAGATTACTTTTTATACTATTGAAAATGCTTGTAAATTCTTTTGACTTTGTTAAATAGATTCTGTTAAAGGTTATAAATCAAGTAAAGATGAAGCATATATTTTAAAAACTGTCTTGTTTAAACAGGATTATTTTTTTCTTTAAAATTTAATGACAAATTTAATATTGTTATGCATGTTCATTTTTCTTGAGTGTAAATACTGCTTTTAATACAATTTCAGGGCCAGCAGACTATATTTTAAGTTCTTGGTGTCCTCTGATTTAATTATGGATGTGCATTTAATTTTCAGACAATAACACTCAATAATGACTTTGGATTGATTTACTATTAATATGTATTTCAGCCTATTTTACTGAATTTTGGCTGGAGAAATGCATTTAAAGACCTGTCTTCTTCTGTGGCTCACTGTATAACAATAGCAATCGAGGATTTTTCATCTAAAATTCTTCAACATGAGCAGAAAGAAGAGTTTTCAGCTGCAGGCTGTGCAATGAGTCTTGTAAACAACCAGCAAATGAGGGAGTCCTGCAGAGCAGTCCAAGAGGAGGAGCAACCAAAACGAATTGCTAAGGCAGGTATCAAAAGATCTGAAGTTTGAGGGGAGACAGAATGCCAAGGCTGTTTGCCATCTACACTTTGAAGTACTTACAGTAGTATTAATATTCTATATCTGATATAAATGGAATTAAAAAGAAAGTGAGAGGCATTACAATGTGAAGCTGAACAGAGCTTTATACAATAGCCCGTAGTGTTTACTTGAAAGAATTGACTTTTAAACTTCACTGGCATTATTTCTTTCAGCCAAAAAGTTCTAAAACTTTCTGATTTATTCTAACATTCATTCTAACATTCCGCTCTGTTACCAAATGTTTCAATGGGAAAATGCTGAAAGCTTTGAAATGTGGCTATAAAGGGATTTCTTGTATTCATATCATTAGACATGCCATTCAATTAATCATAACCTGTAATATGGCCAATTTAGAGTTCTTTGATTTGGTTGAAAGGTCACTTATTAATTAAATTATTTTCTGAGGGAATGTGTGTTTGAAAGTTTTTTTTAAGTAAGCTTTACAACTATTCTAGCAGATTTGGAATGCTGTTAATAAATGTTTGCTTAAAATAAGACAAAAGCTTTTGGGAGATAATTTTAAGGAGTCCAATGTATGAATTTATTAAGAGATTACAAGTTTGTATCCAAATTCAGTGTTAAGAAATTTGTTTGTATGTTTTTCAAAATAACTTAGTTTAGAAAATTATCTTTGTTTACAAGGAATTAATTTTACTTTGAATGTACATTTAGCGAAATTAAAACCAAAATGAAGGCATTACTAGCACAAGATGGTTTTAATTCTTTCCCCCAGTATACAGTGTGCAGCTTTAAAGCAAGAAGGAGTAAAAGAATAATTCATTTACTGTAGATAAATGTTTCTCTCCTGTTTAATATGATGCCTTAAGACTCTTTCAGTTTCTTATTTTTCTAATCTTGTAAGCTTTGTAAGTTTTATAAGAAGTAGAAGTAGATTTTAGAAACAGCAGCCCTTACTCCTCACCCTTTAGCACCCTTTAGTTTACACATTCCTCAGCCCTCTTACCCTATTCCATGCTCCCCATATCAATTCTACCCCCGAATTCAGTAGAAATGTTTAGTCTTTTGTCAAGGCAAGGCCTCTGCTGTTTAGAGAACACTCATATCTTGGCCTGAACAACAGAACACAGTCAAGAACTAGGTGACCGTGTACCCTTTGTGCTCTGAAGATGGTGAAGATGATGAAGAAGTGGTCCCAAAATCCCCAGACCCAATTCCCAAGGGGTGGGGCAGGGGGTCGACCAGGGCAAAAGCAACGGGATGGACAAAACTTGGATTGGTCAAGCAGTGTTATAAAATGTAACATCTCAGGCACGGCCTGCGCGCGCGTCTTGTAACATCTATGCCTAGGCACAAATTAAACCCTTTCCTTATCTCACCCTCAATTAACTGCTTCAGAGGTTTTTTTCTTTATCAGCATTTTAGGCATAGATGAAATATTGAATAGATTGAAATATTTGTAAAGCTCATTCAATATATTTATGTTTTGTGCCAATTTTATTCTTCAAGAATCTGACCCTAATGTATATAAATTAAACAGTGCTGTCAGAATACAAATAATTTGATGCCCTGTTTATTTTCTCAGTTTTGTTCTGACATCATGGAAGAACTGGACACATTGCTTCCATTGGCTCTGGCATGCAGAGATGATTCTCTTCAGGAAATTAGGGCAAACTTTGTAGAGGCCTGCAGCAAAGTGGCAACAGCTGTGCTGGCAAGACTCGAGGAGAAGAGCAAAGACATTCCCTCCAAGGCTCCCCTGCAAGACTTATGTGCTGCCCTTTCCACAGCAATATATGTCTTTCAGCATTTTACAATGTATAGCAATTTAATGAGAGAAACAAGCAAAAAGTAGGTCCTTTTTATTTATAATGCTTAATTCAAACACATGTGACTTTATTCCATTTTGGTGATACAGTATGGTGGTAGTTTTCCAAATTGCATTATATTTTTAGCACACTCAGTGTGTGTACTATTTATGGAAAGACCTGAATCAAAATTATTGATAGTCTAAAGCTGCCTTTACAAAACAAATTAATTATTTTCAAGATCTACATTCTATTTGCAGATCAATATTTTTTATTTATTAAGCTTGAGAAAATAGAATTGTCCAGTGAACTGAATGTACTCTGCTCTCATATAAATAAAGGGCTAAGGCCTTTTCTCACCTCTGTAATAGCTGAATTTTCATAAAATCTAATTTAGCCCATAGCAAATCTTAGAGGACAACATACAAATACATTTCTGTGCTTTTTCCTTACACCACCTGTATTCAGGCATGTAAACAAATACATCCAGTGTAGTTTTAGAATTTTTTTTTTTCTTGCATGCAGAATAAAAATTAGGAGAGATATGAAGTAGGAGTGTAAAGTCGAAGAGAGTGTTTGACCTGGGGGACAGTATAATTTCATTTGCTGTGCTTTTAGAGATTTTGACTTAAGATATTAGGAATTTCTTTATTGGTCCATATGTTTCCGGCCATATGTAATTGAAAAGTAGAAGCTGTACCTTTTGGGAGGGATGCTGAATTAGCACGATTTTCAAGGAATGTATGATTTCTGAGTGGTTTTATGCACTGTTGAGCTACTTTCCGTCTGATGTTTTACTCTCTTCTGCATGAAGTATATCTTTGTGAATGGGAAGTCTGAGCCAAAATACTGATCAGTAATTCTATTTAGGTGTATTATCAAAGAGTTTTAGTACATACCTACCAAAAGCAATCTCTGTACTCTGTGCTTATGTTTTCTTTATCACACTCAGTGCTGATGTAATAATTGCTGATGCAAGTATGCTGCAACACATAATCTTCAAATATGGGAATGACAAATATAATTTTGTCTCAGCAAATAGGATGAAGTAATTTATTTCTCAGTGACTTAGGTAAACGCGAATTTATAGACAAGGAGACATATTTAAAGAATTTTTGAAACAAAGAATTTCAAAAGTGAGTGCTAGGTTCAGACTTCAGAATCAAGAGGAAATGAATGATTGATATCTACTAATCAAGACTATTTGCAGTACTGGGAATTGTTACCTCCTACTGCACAGCCTTTCAATCACTGTCTCTTTCATCATTCTCTCTGAACAGCCCCCTGTTCCTAGTGCTTGTCCAACAATACCAGGAATTCATCAGTGTTCTCCAGTTTCAAGTTACGAACTACTGCATCAGAGTTTGTGCTACAAGCATATTACAGGATGCTGAGAGCCACCACTGGGATGACTACAAAGCTTTTTATGAGGTGTGAGGTTAAGTTTACTGTGCCTCCCTTTTACAAAATGTGTTTACTGGTTGCCAACTCTCTGACTAATTAGAAGCATAAGATCAGCATTCTTTTTACATAACAGTTGTTGGGATTTACTCTTTTGAAATATCTCTCTAGAAAAATGAGATAGATGGTTACCATGAAGTGTTTGTGTCATTTGCTTTGTAAAATATTGTGTGTTAAGACATTTATATAGAACTCAGTAAAGAAGACGTCATCATCTTAATATCTAAGAACTTTACAGTTGTAAAGTTGTATGAAAATGTAACATTGAAAATCTTCTTCTGGGAAATTTTTCATCTCATTATTTAGTTTTTATTTTCAAGTGGTTCCCCTTTTATTTTTTGGGAGTGAAAGATGTAACAAAGAAAGATGGTCAAGATAGTTACCTTAAGCATTCAGAAGTAGATTTCTGAAGTAAACAGTGCCATTTCACCTGCATTTTGAAGTCACAGGTCTGATGTATAGCTGTAATCCTAATGATTCTATGAAAAAAAAAGATAATTACTTTTGTTTATTGGGTTTTTTCCTTCATTGCTGTTAAATGCAAACACAGATTGACACTGATTGAAATTATTTTCACTTGATTGCAGGATGAAGTATTATATGTTTTTTATCAATAATATCTGAGGTCTCCTAGAGACAAAGTCCTGTCCTTCCTTTTATCACTTTTTGTGTAAGACAATTAGTGTGGTTTTTTTACGCATTTTCTAGAATTCTTACATGAGAGAAAATTCTCTGTGATACATGTATTCTACAGATGTAGTATAAAAAACAGCTAAGCAGTGACAAAAATGTGTACTGGACAGGGCATGCAGACCTTAGTACAAGTAATCTATCAAAATGTCCATCCCTCAAAATAAACATTTTACTTTTGTTTGAATATTGGCCCAGATGATGAAGTAAGAAATGTCATGGCTTTTGGCAACTGATAAATCATGATACAGTCTTGATTGTCCATAGTCCATAGTCCATATGGTGCTGTGTGCTGTTTCTTAGTGACCAAGTAGCTTCACCATGGAGGAAACCTAATTGTGAGACATAGTTGTCCAAAGACAAAAGAATATGGAGTAGCTAAACAGTTTTATCACTGCTGAGCAGAACTGATGTGTGTAGGAAGGGATGAGGAAAGCCAGTGTCTCAGCTCTTTAAGGTTTGCAGGACTTGAGGTGGGAAGTATGTAATTTTACATCATCACTGCTCTTTTTACTGGGTCGTGGGAGATGGCCCAAAGGTGGACCATGATCTGTGTGGAGCGCCTTCAGGAGGCACAATGCTGAGCAGTTGTTACTTCCATTGGCCTCTTGTAGGCATCCCAAATGAAAGAGATTGGATTAAGACCTATTGCTTGTTACAGAGGCAACATCCTACTGAACCTCTAGCAGTTAGTGTAGCAGCCATCTGCTGTAGCTGTGGAAACTTCTGTTTTCTAATAGTCAAAAAATAAAGAATTGTCTGTTCAGAGATAATATTGAGTGGCTTATACAATAAGGCACACCTGGTTGTTGCCTGATATATAAGCTAAATAAAAGCTCACATCTGTTTGTATTATATGGAGCCTGCAAAAATAGCAGATATTTATCAGTTGAATTGTCTAGAAATGGCAGCAAGTAGAAAAATAGGTCAGAAAAGGGGAATGCATCTCATTTAAATCTTTAGTGACACTGTTGCTTCTGCAATGGAGGTACAATGCTAAGAAAGGGGGGAAAGGGTATTACTTAAATTAGCGCAGAGAAAGTGAAAACAATTTGTGTTTATTGTTACAGTTAAAAAGTAAAACTCACCAACATTAAGTTACTTAAAAAAGTAAATGTCCTGTGTCAAAAAGTCAATTTAGAATTATATACTTGGTTTTCAAGTCTGCATGGGTTTGGAAAATTTTTAAATTTGTTTTTGAAGTTAAAGATAGGACCAAAATAATTTTGCTCCCATCTGGCATTCAAACTAATTATGTTTTAACTGTAAAGTTTATTCTGTAACAGTTGAAATATTTTTGCAAAGAAATGGAAATCTCAGTAAAATGTAAGGTAAGGTTAGGGACTTATTTCTGCATAGGTTCTACTTAAATGTACCTCAAGAGTTATCATGATAATGCATCTAAAAGCCCAGGCATCTAGAAATGTATTAACATTGAAGTTATGCAAACTTATGAAGTTATGAGTTGTGTCATGAAGTAAACTTGTACTTTCTTATTATATTTCCATGTGTCGTGCAATAAGATTGTAATTGTATTTCATATAAGAAAAATAGGAAATTATTTTAATATATCCATTATTTTATTACATAAACTTCTGGTCAGCGTAAGACAATCCTGTTTTATCGGTATGAAAACACTTGTCAAGTGCTTGGTTATTCAAAATACTAGTGGGTTTTTTGTTTGTTTTCCTATTGAAATACAGTGTTTATGGTAGTATGTAGAAGGAAAATTAGTCATATGATTTTCTTTTGAAACTCAGCTGTAGATATTTTTTCTCTTCTGCATTAGTGAAACCTGAAAATTGGATGCCCTAATGATTTAGATGTTGGGGTTTTTTTCCTAAATTAAATTTCAGAGATGCCTACACCACTCATAATCTTAAGGACCAGAGTGGTGGTCGTAAATTTGGTACTTTCGTTCTTTGTCACTTTTTAATATAAAATGCACTTCAAATATTATGGCAGAGAAAAACCAAATAATGACAATTTCCAAATATCTGCTAATGCCCTGTATTTAAAAAGAAGCCAGATTATTTTAGATTTTTATTGTTAAAGAATGCCTATTAAACTCTGAAAGTATTTTGAAAATTGTGGAGTTATTTTATGTTTCTGATAATGCTAAAATATCAAAAAATTCTTAAAATATTTCTCTGTTCCTTTGGAATATGGGAAGTGGAGATTGCAGTCTCTGTTCTCATACGGCTTCATCATGCTATTTTCTGACTAGGTATTAGTTGAAATATTTAAATGTAAGTTATACTATCTACTTCTTAGAGATTTTGTGGATTAACTGCTGTGATTTTGACTCTTCTGTATTTATTTCTGTATCTTAATGGGGTAGTTCTGTATAGACAATGAAATGCAATGAAGGCAATGCTGATTCCTTCCCAGAAAATGTTTGGTTTCAATGAATTACCATTATAAGATAAAAAATACCTTACTAAAAAATTCTGGACATCTGTTATTATCAGTTTAATAGTTCAGTTTTTCTTTTTTTCTGCTCTTATTGCATATCTATTATACATAAACAAAGTTTTATAATCATGGTTATGCATAGCATTTATTAATCTGGATAAATACATATGCTGAAGTAATTTAAATAATTATTTTCTTTGCAGACAAGCTGTTACATTAAATTTGTCTGACTTTTGTAGTGAGTAGAGAATACTGTATATGTTTTAAAACTAAACTTACAACACTATGGGTCTTGAGAATAGGTTAACTGAGGATATAAGAGGTCAAATGATGTGGTTTGATTATGTGGCAGACCTGTAATTTTGTGACTAAAATGCAGCATGTGTTGCCTTTCTAATAAAGATGTCTCACATCTTGTCAAGGACCATTTGTTGGTCATCATATTCCTGAAGCTCTTCAGCTATTTCCCTTCAGATAGATTTAATTATACTTACAGGAATTAAACTGACATTTTCAAAGGTGTGGTTTTATTATTTAATGTGTTGTGATTTTGCTAGGGGGAAAGATGCTCATTCTCTGTCCAGATGTGGCATTACTTCTGCTGTGCTATTCGTCATGATCTATGGACTATTCTACCTCCAAAGACAGCCCAGGAGATTCTTACAGATATACTAGAGCAATCTTTGGATATTCTGTCCTCCAGATATTGTCAGGTGCATCCCAGTTACAAGAGAACACCTCAAATCAGGTAATGGTTGTATATTTAATGCACAGTTGTAATGGATAAAATAAATAAATGTTAGTTTTCTGTTATGCACTGCTTTGATTCAGATTTAAATGTTAATGAACACAGCAGAGGGGATAGATCAAATTTGTACATTTTGATATTAATTTTAATTCAATATATTCTGTATATTTAGTTATATAGGTAGTCATACCATGAGCTGGGCAGAATCAAAGACCTCTTTCAACTGTTGGTAAAATTGTTCCATAAACTGCTTGATCGGTTTGAAAGCCTCACAGTGAAAATGCATTGAGAAATGGTGATGCAACCAAAAATGTGAGCAGAATTGGCAACATCAGTATTAGAAATCCAGCTGTTGATTCATCAAGAAAACTTCATGTGTTCCAATAGAATTTGTATTTTTATAGGGCTTTTCAAGTAAAAGAGTTAGTAGGTCACATCAAAAGATTTGGCAGAATGACACCAGTGGTGCAGAAGGAGAGAGGATAAAGAGGCTATCCCTTTCTGTCATTTTTGGAAATAAGAAGCTGAAGTTCTTCTGATTGGGATTCTTATGTTTTGCCAGAAAGGAGGGTCTTTTTGATAGAATGCGGTTTCGTTCAAACTTCTTTCAGTTTTTTTCCTGTGGTTCATTTTTTTCTTCCCTCTCTGGGAAGCAGGCCTTGTTGTCAAGTTTTGGAGACTTGGCGGGAAGCCAGCTCAAAACTTGCACAATGTCATTTGGAAAAGGATATTTCCAAGTTTTTTAACTTCTTTTTTTTTGAGTAGTCTCAGTAATGACTTTTTTGTAGAAGTGTTGAATTCTTAAAGAGTAGTGGATTCAGACTTCCTACATCACTGAAGAGGAAATTTCAAATCCATGCTGTGATTTATACTTGTCAGAGGAAACGTCTTTTTAATTGAAATTTACTACTATCCAGATGTCCTAAGTAATCTTATTTTTGCTTTTTTTTTGCCTAAAGAATTGATATTGCAGCAATTTTGATGTCCACTGAAGATATGCTCTGGTCAAGTTGTAGTTCTGTGCAGGAGTTTCTGAATCCACATGAAGACAGAGATCTCAAGATCTATAAAATACATAGCCACTGCAATAATCTGATCTCTGTGCTGGCTATTTTAACTTCACCACTGAAGAATTTGTATGAGTAAGTATGAAATAAACATTCCATTTGAGAAAAAAATTGGCTCTTGACCTTACATGGATAGGTCTAGAGGGTGAATATTTGTGTTGAAATCAAATGAAATGCATAGTGTTGATGCATTTTATAATCTTTGACTATTTCTCAATTTTGTCTTGAACTTACCTTTATGATCTTACCTAAAGCCCAGTTATATCTGCTGGTATTTTATTAGCCTTGGATCAAACTCCTATGCTGTACAGTTTTTGGCTGTTGATAACATAGACCATAGTGAATGGATTGATTTCCTCTGTAACACAAACAGTAGAATTTCATAATAATTACTGTGCCGGATTTGTAATTTGCTTTTCAGTTAGCATATTTTTTTTTTTGAAATTCAGTCTTGTCCATCTAAAAACATTTACTAATATGTACCAAAGACTTTGGTAAGGTTTTCAAGGACTTAGTTATTCATCAATTGAAAAAAAATCATCTTACTAGTTAAAATACATCTGCCTTCAGCTTCCAAGTACATTAGAATGTTCTGCTTTCATCCCATAACATTTTTTATAAGTACTGAAATGTAAAGATAATTTACTGGAATGATCATCTGGTTAGATAATCAGTATGCTTCAACAAATATTAATATAGTTTAAAAGATAAAGAATATAGAATTGCCATATTTATGAAATCATGTCTTCACAAGTCACAGCTATAAACAAAAGGAAACATTACTTGCACTGAAATTGGGTCTGAGTCTTTCATTGCTAAAATTCTGCTGTAAATTTCATGTATGAGACAATACAAAGTGAGATCACAAGTTAAAAAAACAAGGACAACAAAACTGCAAAGTAACAAAGACACATCCTATTCAAGTCTCTTATTATTCTAAGTAGGAATATTTTAGGTACTACTCAGGTGGAGACCTCCTGAATTTAATCTTCTTCAGCTAAAAATTTTTTGTCATGTGTGGGCTCTTTTTAATATTTGTGAGCTCTAATGAACATGCAAAAGTAGATTGTAACTGGATGTTTGATCTTACACAATGCAGGCTTATGAAAAAATAGCAATTAAGAAGGTGACTGATTAGGTGTGGCTGTGCCAGTAGTAATGGAGGAGGAATGGACATTGTGGTAGCTGTAACTGCTTCTACTGTCAATTTTTACATTTCATCTTTCTTTTATGAAAGAATGATGGTACAAAATAAATGTGTAGTATAATTTCTTTCTTTTAGCTATTCTAGTCTCCTCCACTAAGCAACGTTGTTTACACATTTATCTATACCTGTAGTGACAAAAATATGTGCTAACTTGAGCAGTCACTGAGTTTCAGAACAAAGTGCCAATGAAGAGGCAGCCTATCTTGCATTTTATGTAAAATGCTATAGATAAATGACTTGGTCATATAGCTTTCATATTTAGGCATATGGATGTCACTATTGTAATTTGCTGTAGCAGCTCATTTAATTTACTACAAAGTACTCCGCAAATCACAACCAAAATCTGACAGCTTTGTTTAGAAAGAATAAAAAGAATTGTCATATTTTGTTATATAGTTACAAAAATAATATTAACACTGAAGAACATTGCTATATAGATGATGCATGTTTTCGTAAGTAAAAAGGGATTTTTTTGTGAACTTGTATTCACAATTTGTCTTTTCAAAATCTGTGAGGGTACATTATCAAAACAAGTTCCTTTATATTGTATATTTCATTACAGCCAGGATTTGTCAGGTAACCTAATCCAGTGTCCAAAATACAAAGAAAAAAGAGGGTTAGCAAATTAGCTTCTTGAATGACTATATCCAACTGGAAACATTGAATCAAATTTGCAAACACCAAATTTTATGTGGAATACCTAGGTCCATTGTTTACTGAGGTGTGCATAGTTCATCAGATTAAGATAACAAATTTAGAAGTTATGTCTGATTTTAAAGGAATACTTATCTTTCATCAATTCTGTTCAATTATATAGTTGTATGATCACAATTTATTGTTATTGTGTTAGCTTGGCTTTATATATTTCAAAACTAAAATTATTCAAATTTCTTTATTATGTTGTTGAAATGGAACAAGATAGTAGTGGTGCTGAAAAATTAATAATATCCTTAACTTCAAATAAGGTGATTCTGGCATATGCTTTCTCATTCCTAATTTTGTGACCAAGTATGTATTCAGCTATCACTTAAGAGTTTCTTTTCTGTATGGCAAAGTTACTTAGACCTGGTCCAAAATTCACCTATGAATCTTGGGTTTTTAGTGCTCATTTTTCTGTGCTTCATTTTTCTCCAGCCTTCTGTGGCCTTCCTGAAGCACCTTTAGTATAACAGATATGTTGGTTGGAAAGGACTGCTGGAGATATCTAGTCTAGCCTCCTGCTTAAAGCAGAACAGTCACTAAGAGCAGTCAGACATGACTGTGTTAGCTGCCCTGTGTCAGCCTCCAGGAACTGAAGTTTTACAGCCTCTCCAAGAAGCATGTTCCACAGCTGCACTGCTTTACTGCAAAGTATTGCCTAACATCTAGTGTAAACCTTCAAAGCTGTTGGCTATGACTTGCTGTATCACATCAGCCTCCACTGAGAAAAGTTTGTCAGTGTTGTCTTTGTAATTACTCTTTGGCTATTTGTAGACTGCCATTAGGTTAATTGACCCTGCTGTTCAATTTGAAAAACTGAAAGTATTTCTCCTTAATATATGAGTTATAACTCGTGAAATTGCTTTTTAGTCCTGTGTATTCCTTATACAGAGTTAAATCCTTCAAACAGTACCAGGAAATACCGTCAAGATGCATTTTGTTGGCATTTCATTTCTTCACACCTATACTGAGGCTTACAGGATCAATTCTCACCTTGTTACACTCTACTGAAGAATAAAACTTCTTGCTGTGGTATTAAATGCTTTCACAGATGCTATCTGCTGTTTTGAGACTATAGGCAGCTGCATTAAGACATCTTGAAGCAAAAACAAATTTCCTACTAGCTATTATTGTTACTTCTGTCAGAAGAGTAGTTGAATTAAACAGTCTGGCACAGAAGTACATAGCCAACAGTGGACATTAAGAAATGCTGGCATGAGAATTACTATATTATCATTAGACACTTGATTTTTTTTAGTAGTATTTGAAGTTATTCTAATATTTAAACAATCTTTAAAGCCTCAGATTATCTTCATCTCACTTTAAAAATTTCTGTAGAGATTTTGTTATAAGCCTCAGAATCCAAAAGTCTGTCGTGTGCTTCTTCTTAGGATACAGCTAATCCCAGAATTCTCTCAAATAGTTCCTAATCAATCAATAAACAACATGTGGTCTTTCTTTACTAGATTGCTACCCCAAATGTATCTATCGTGCTTTCTTCTAGGATTTTTGCTCTATGCTTTGCTATATTCAGAAAAATATTTCAGTAATATGAGAGACAACATGATTTCTTTTTTGTTTTAATTCTCTCATAAAATTGACATTAATGTCTCTAAAATAATTATTTTTCTACTTTAAATTCTACCTTTATCTACATTAGAATCTCAGCTTTATTTTTAATCTTCAGGTTTTCATGAATTCACAAAGAGCACTGTGCTAGTCCTTCTGCTTGAATATTGCTTACCTAAGATCATTTAGATGTCCGTAGTAAATTCTTTCTACTAATTTTTTGTTATTAGTAAAATTAATTTCCAAATACATCACCCTCTCTTTTGGAGAAGTTCAGAAACTTTTAGACCTGCCTTTCTTGTTGAACAAGTGTAATTCTCTCTCTTCTTTTATCTGGGGTCTTTTAGGCAGACAGTGACCTAATAGACACGTAGCTGCAGTTCTAAATTACTTACATGGAGGAGTGAAAGAAAGCTAAAAAGTAACTTTAAATAAGTAAATGACAAAACACAAGTTCTATTAATGCCATGGTGACAAAGCACAAGATTCTGGCTTTTAGGTTAGGAATTCCTGAAGGCTGTATTCCAAAGGGTTTCCAGCCTATCTCCTGTTTTAAGTGTTTAGATCCACTCTCACTGCTTCCATTTCATGGCAGTAGCTTTCTCTGATCATATAAAAAAGTTCTCTTGTCCTGAGAAAGTCCTCACATCTTTTCCTGAGGGTTTTCTCTCAGTACAATAGAAAGAATACTGACTTGAAAGTGGGAATTACATTGATTCACTTCAGAAAATAAAGCAAATAAACAGTGGCATTTTTATACCTTCTTTATATAACTTAGAAAATCACAGCCATGATACATAAAAAAACGAACTTCAGAGAAGGAAAGTTATTATGATGAAAAATTCACAGCCAAGTAAGATGAAAAGTAAGGTGCTTGGGAAGTGACAATTGTTTATAGTTAATGGAGGATGGATGTAACAAATTATATCCTCTCTGCTGGAATTGTATTCAGTGTAAATGAGAATAAAAAGGGAAGAGGCCAAGGGGCATCTATTCCTATGACACATTATTGCATCCTAGTGGTTGCTACAGAATTGTACCAATACTATTGCTAAACAGTAATTAAAAGCAAATACTAAATTATGGAATCCTGTTCTTACATATACTTATAATCCTATCATATAATGAATAAAAATAGTTAATTTTTAGTGTCAGTGGATTGGACACATCTTGGTTTTTGCCACTCACATCCTTTGAGTAAGTGAAGTACTGCAGTAGTGACATCAAACTAGCTTATCTAGTTCCTCACCAGATTCTTGTATTTGAAAGCAACCAGTATGCCAATTCTCATAAGCTAGTGGAGGTCTAAAGCTTCTGGTTGAAATTTTTGTCCAGTGTAATCTAAAGTCTATAGGTACTTGTATGTCAGTTATTATCACTTCAAAAAATATTTTATTTATCGTTATAAAGGTATTTATAATACAATGCATTTGTTATGCAGAAAGAAAAGAGCAGTAGAAATAAATGACTGAAGAGCAATTTGCTTATTGAATGCATTTTCAAATGCAGTTTGAAAACATGCTATATAAGAGTAAAAATATGCAGAAAACTTCTTTAACAATATAACAAGTTTCAGAGTGAAAGTATATAAAATATAAAATGATACTTTTAATAGTATTAATAGATTAATATCTATTAATATAAATAGATTTGCAATTATGGATATGGATATGTACATTAGTACTATTTTTATTATGTATATTAGAACTATTTATCATTTGGTACTAGTGGTCCAAAGGGATTTTCAGTCTCTTGTGTAATTCAGAAATATCTGGTTTCTTTCAGGACATTACTGAATAGTTGTGGTGAACATCTTCCTCAAGAGTTTTCAGAAGTCTTTTATCATCCATCACATTGGTTATTTTGCATACCATCATCCTGTTTTTTCTTACTGAAGTGAGTATCATAAGTTGATGGTTGTAAAGGCATCAATGGATTGTCAGTATTAGTCAAATACTATGACAACATTTTGAAAAGAGTGTATCTGAATAAATGTTTAAGTAATATTCTGATGTTAAAAAGGCATAGAAGCATTTTTTAATTCATTACAGATTTCTCTAATCTTTGAGAGCCTATAAGAAAGGTCACACTGAAAGCAGTGCACTGTGTTTTGCTAGTCTAGTCATTATGTTCGATATTTGAATTGTCTCTAAGCTTTTCTGGCTTTAATTAAAGGGTATATAGCTTTTGACAATAATGTAGTTCACCACAGTTGCTGTTTTGAAGGACTTATAATTAAAGGGGAGATAAAGAATGTACGCCTTTCTGTGTATGACTGGTGGTTAAAAAAATGATTTGATATATACATGACTCCTTGAAAAATAATGCTGCTTGATCATAGTTAATTTTTTTGGAGATTACTGAATGATTAAAGGCAAAAGCTTAATTTCTTTTTCTGTGTCACAGAAATGTAATGACAAATTACATATAAGATATATCCTACCAGCTGTGCTGTCATTCCATTTCTAGTTTTGAAGCTGAAGCACTCCCACACCGGTGTAGATCCTCTCCTAACCCCTTCACCTCCTCTTCCTCCTCTTCAAAGTTATTTCTTGAGAGATTTTCACTCTCCATTTTCATGAAGGGCTGCTTCTGGGAGTTCTTCCTATGTGTTTTCTGAGAAAGTATTTTTACATTTTGTAGAAATACATTATCATATGATTGGTGACCTAATGATGACTTATTTGTGACCAGTGTGCTGTGGATTTATTATCTCTTACCTTGTACACACAGTATCTTGTACTATGTACATAAAAATATTTTCCCTGTAATTTTGCCCCATGCTGCACAAAACTTAGTGATTTCTCTCCGTAGCCTTCACTCCTAACTACATGTCATCAGTACTGTTATCTCCTTCCCAGGGGCCTCTGATATCTGCTGAACCAGAGGCAATGTATGTTTTGACTGCATCGAAGTCATGCGGTTGGCTAAATAAGAGCCAAACAGTTGAGTAACTGGTGAATTCAGAATGTGTCCTTTTACCTGCTAGAAACAGTAATTTAAGTTCTTTAAAAGCTTGAAGCATCACATGTGTTTACCTCTATCAAGCTTCAAGGAAATTTGTTGGTGGCTTTTTAAGTTATGCATGGTTGGAGAGAAAGGAGAGGAGAAGGTGAATATAGGAAAGAGAATGACTGCATGACCCATTAGAAAGGGATCTACTCCATTTCTGGGAAAATTTATTCTTCATTACGTGTTCATTGTAGAAAAGACAATAAGCTTTTTGATACCATCATCCAAGACCAGTACTCAAAATTTAAATTACACTGTGAATTATGAGTTTTGGAAGATGACTTGAAAAGAGAGTACCCTATGCTGTGTAAAAGTATGTAAAGGAAATGCTGCTACCATTTCAGTCTGATATAATTATCTTTTCCGAGGTGGAATTAGGATAAATTTGTCTTGAATAAATAGCAAACTATTCCAGAGCTATGCAGTATGCAGTTTTTCCTCCAGATGACAGGAGATAAAATATACATCCTCTTGATCACCAAGTGGAAAAATGAGGAGCTCAAAAGAAAGCACATATCTGAGAAGATACAGCTGGTGTACCTATGTGAGGACAGTCCATATATAGAGAGTCTTCTGTACTGTCCTGGTCATAATGAGTGAACTACATTGGTAAAATATTTAATGTTTTCTTTTAACAACACACTTTTCAGCTGCTCAGAAAAAAGGAACAGGGAAGGGCTCTATATATAATGAAGTAATTTGTGCGACACATTCTAAGATGGTCTAGTTTTTTCATTGGTTTTACACTCTATGTCAAGGAAACTTTTTTTTCTTGAAATAATTGCAATTTTGAGCATTAACAAGACATGTTTAAGTACTGCAGTAAACTGTATTTTAGAGCATGCTAACTATTCATGGATTGTTTTGTGGTTTTACATCTTACATCTAATAAAAATACATATTCACTGTCCGTAACAAAACTGAGAGCCCAGGCCATTGTACACCTCTCAACTGTAGCCACCTAATCTTTAACTAAATACTCTAATCTGTCATACATCCAACTATTAAGTATTTACTCTTCCTAGGCTTAATATTTCAAAAGAAAGTTTCACTAGTTCCTGAAATTATTTTGTTTACTATATAACCTGATTTACTACATTACTTTTGATAACTGAAAATGACTACAGTCTGTTTTATCAATTTGACTCCAACATTTTGTCAAGGTTGTTACCATGAATTAGCATGTTTATTTGCCTTATAAAATCCTGCACTTACCACTTGAGGTTTTCTTTCTTTCTGTGTTGGATAATAACCAGAATAATGTAGCTGGTTATCAAACTAAATAATTACTGATCATTTATATTACAGTTCCTTTAGAAGTAATTGTGATTCTTTTAGTGGCAATTGTGATTCATCCTTTTTTTCTTTTTTGGGGCTTATAATCATACCATTTGCAAATCAAAGTTGTTTTTTTTTCTATTAGTGTACAAAACTGAACATTTATATGTGTGATATTTATATGTACTTCACCTTTTGTCACTTTTTATGAGGCTAGTCTTATTTTCACTAGAACTGAGCTACGAAGATAGGAGAACATATGCCTCTCCATATGCACGTTACAGAACTTCTCAGTGCATTTGTTGGTGCTAGCTTCATGGCTGTAGGGAATGTCTGCTATATTTTATTTTTCCTCCAAGTGAATCACACCATTGTACACTTCAATTTGCAAGATGCTTAAAGAGCCAAGAACTGGTGTATATTACAACATGATAATTTCCCATCTGGTCAATGACAGACAAGTTTTTATTCATTTCAAATACTCTAAAAATGTAATTTATTTCTATTGCAATTTGAAATAATATCCTTCATAAATGTAATTGACCAAATTTGTCCCTTATTTTGTAGTTTGAAGGCAATGAGTGATTCTATTAGATATACTAACATGACATTCAAGGGAGAAAAAAATATTACACTGGCCCGTATATTTTAACTGAATTAGTCAAGTGTTGAGTTTGCTGTCAGCCACAGCACTAACTCTAGTGAGAATACAGTAATTGTTGTAATTTTAACTTTGATTACTAACTGCTAATTAGTTCTTAACGTGCATTAGATTATATAGATATATAACTAATGTTGAACATACAGAAATTAAGATAGTTTTATTAAGAATGCAAAGCCCTAAGGTTGACAGTTTGAATGCAATATATGTTTAAATATGGAAAAGTTATATTGACTGCAAGTTCTATCAATATTTAAATGTATATGTGTATATATTTTTGGTAAATATTACTAGAATGCAGTATGTGCTACTATGTAAATAGTAGAGCCAGTGCTACATTGTCAGTAATTATATATAAAATACCAATTGAAAATCAAAAAAGCTGTACATAAGTTTTCCTGGCCTATACGTTGCTTATCAACTCAGAGGTATTTGCTGTACTGTTAAAATTGCAAAGGCTGGCATGTATAAAATCTTGCTTTACTAAAATTACTGTTACAGTGAAGTTTTGACATAACAGTGTGATGTAAGGGTCTTGGTGGGAAATGGTGTTATGGAAGCTTGGTTTCCTTAGGTTACTGCAAGATTGCCTGCAAGATGTGTGTATTTCTGCTTTTTTGGTAACAGAAACATAGAGACATGTGAGGGGGAACTAAATTAGAGGAGTGTATCAGCTGACATTTTCATTTCCAGGTGTTGTAGGTTTGTATTGAGTATATTATATATACAGTAACCTTGACTGAACAGCACAGTATTTGTGCAGTCATCTCTGTTTTTTTTCATGTGTGCATTCAAGCAGAGTTGGGTGGTGACACACTTGGCTGAGTTAGATGGCTGTAGAAGTGTGCAACGTAATGGAGACATTCCCCTCTATTAGAACAACCACATGAACGCATTTTAATTCTGTCCCAATGTGTAAATGGCACATAAAGTGTTTTGAGCAGAAGCATATAAATCCTTTTCTAGTCTGACAGGAAAGTGTCATACTGAAAACCTCCTGATGAAGGTTTCAGCTGATGCTGAAGGTGTTATGTGCGTACTGGCAGATAATATTTATGCCTGCACAGTTAATACACTAGTCCATATGTAGTTTTTACACTGCTGCATGTAAAATTTATGTGCATAGAAGTTTACATAGGAGGTGCATAAAGTTTCAATGTTAGCAACTATTGTATAAACTTGTAACAAAAGTAAATAAATACAGTGGCTAAATATCAGTTGAAATTTAATTTAAATACCTTCAGATTAATAAAAAAATTAACTTGCAAGAAAAAATCTACAATCCAATTTTGAAAACTTCTTTTAAAAAATATTTCAAGAAGAAGAAAATACTAAATACAGTAGGTAATAAATATCTTGCAGGATAGATTTTTTTTTTTTAACTGTAATGTGAATTCAGTGATTGGTGTTGTGTTGCTGGCTGAGTTCAGAGGAAGCCATGCAATATTTTTATTTGGAAACCTCAAACATGGAAACCACAAACAGGAAATAATCTGTGATCTCTCCAAAAGCTAATAAGTTTGTACTACACTTTCTCGTTTCTCCCTGCTGGCAAAGCACTAACTTAACCAGTCTAATTATTTCATGTAGATTTTTCAGGACATATAAGAATTGGTCAACTGAATCTGGAATTTTGCAACCCTTTTGAGCATTTCCTCTGTTTTTTACTTAAGAGCTTCATATACTTCATTAAGACAGTTCCTTATTAAACAATTGATGTAATACTGAACTAAAAAGTAATAGCCTTAAATATATTCAAGCACAGAAAAAAAAAATCTCCTTTTTACTTAGTAGAACAAGACAAACATGGTTCCATGAGAGAGATAAGTGGCTTTGTATCAGTTATAACTTTGGCAGACTACCAAATGTTAATTTGCTTTTAGCTAGTTGAGATTAAATGTAATTCCTTCCCTGAGCTGCCTTAAAGTAAGCAAGCATGAAAGCATTTTCAGAGTAATCTGGGAGGAATTGACATTTAAGGGAGTTAGCATTACCTCTGCAATTTAAGGTTATTAATTTCATAGAAAAATTAACTACATTATTTTTTATCTTGCATTTTGAAAGGATTCCATCAGCCAGAGAAATGGCAGCCCAGGGTCAGCTGAAACTGCTCTTATCCCAGCCGTATTGTAATTTGAACTTGCTTTTGGACACATTGCTACATAATGATTGTCTCTTAGTGAAAATTTTGCTGAGAAGCTCAGGTAGGTATTTATACTGTCAATCCATATAAGAATATCAGTGAAAAACACATATTCATTTTTAACTACTTAAGTGCTGAAGGAAGGCTGTCAACCATGCTGGAAGGGTTTAGGTAGCCTTTCCATTATGAGTAGTACACTTCTTAAATGGGTTAAAAGATGGAAAAGGCACTGCTTTTTTAATGAGAATGTTTTGTGCTCAATCTGTGTATTAATAGTTTCAAAGCAGACTACAGTTTGATAAAATAGGCTGCTATCATAAATGCAAAGGAATCAAAATGAATTTGAGCTTAACAGAGCTATGTGATACCTCAACTACTTTACAGAGATTTTTAAAAGTGTGGATTATACTTTCAAAATTATATTTCAATAGTGAAAAGCTTCTTAGATATTGTTAAACTTACTATATGTTTGTCACTGTAGGCATTTTAGAATTGCACTTATATGCTTCCTCTTGATAATCTGTTAATGCCATTTTGAAAGTAGAACAAATAAAAGAATGGTTCTACATGTTTTTTCTGTATTGGTGTTGTGTTTGAAACAACAAACTTCATCACATCTTTCTTTTAATATCTTTCAGATATTGTTGAAAAGCTAATGGTATAATCACCTGTTTGATGTAATCTTGCAGGAATAGTGAATGAGGGTCTTGGTTTCTATATTTCTTGGCAAAAGAATTCTTCCTACTTATAAAAAAACCCATTATGTCCACATAATATTAGACATAACATAATTTAGTTCTGTTATTTTAAACTCATCTAATATTTGTCAGAGGTACAATATAGCTTTCACTGCTGTCATGCATCTTATTGAGAGCTGCAGTGCATACATTTGCCTACTCAAACACATGTCTACTTTTACAAAGACTGGCAAATGTTTAATCAGGGTCATATTCTTACCCTAATGTTAACCAGTATTGAATTTTACTATCTGTTTAAATTATTAGAGGTAATAAGTGACATAATGTATTAATCTATTGACTGAGCAACCTCTTAAGCTTTAGGGAAATCTGTTCCTTTGAATTACAAAATGTGCTATTTACACAGGCTTTATTAATGTAACTACAATATTGGTATGAATAAACTTTCAGTTAAGATAAAGTTGATATCTGTGATGATCCACATCTAAATTAATTTCAACAGGGTTAATTGTCTAATAACAAAATGTTTGTATTCTTTATTCCTTCTCCTATACAGCTAAGTACACCATAGTTTTTGAGTGATTTGCCCTAGTGATAACAAAACTCCCTGGTATTTAACTACATAAGGATTTTTTTAATAGGAAAAGCCTTCTCACATTTTTAACACTCAGAAAACAGTCCAGAAGGCAAAAATTCTCTATAAAGAGCTGCGTATATGTGGATGGCTTAAGGTATTGATAATTTTTTTCTGTATTGTACTAATACTTTGGGATAGTTAAAGCAGAAATCTTCCAAACATATTTAATTTAATTGCAGTCCCATTGTTCTCATGGTTGTACTACGGTGAGGTTCAAAAATAATGTATGTTCCCCATCATAGTAGGGAGTATTGTTGGGATTGACAACGTTTTTTCAGTAGAAAGAGTATTTTGGGAGAATGCATTTGTCTTGGTTTATGGACAACGTGTGCTAGGAGGCGGGACCTCCAACGGAATAGAAACCCCTCCCTCCAAATTACGAGAATTTAAAATTATGAGATGTTCGAGTAAAGTGTAGAAACAAATAAGAGTTTTTACTAAAAATGGAGAACAAAACACAGTAACCACAGGGGTACAGGGAGAAAATGGTCTGTCTCTCCACCCCCTTCCCTGGAAAGACTGGAGACCGCCTGGCTGCGTGGCTCTCCCCGAGGCAAGCAAAGGGACTACAAGGAGTATGGCAAAGAGCTTTTTCCCCTGCTGATTCCGTGCCGCTAAAAAATCCCCAAAACCTGGGTAGTTATTTTGTTCCTGCCGGTTGTGTGAATTTGGCTCCGATGGTGAGCTGTGTCTGATACAGGG